TGTTCAAATTTGCACTCTTATCTACACATAATCCCTTTATTGACATACTGGGTGTAATCCATATTTATCCAAAAGACTTAAAACTGGTTTGATTACAACATTACCTTTTGATAGATATAAATAATGTAATTTAATTAATGTTTTTGAAAATTAATTCATTATTTAGTATTATAGTTTATTATTTAGTTAATTTGGTTTCCAATTTAGTTGATTTAGTTCGTTATTTAGTTAATTTCGTTTCCAATTTAGTTAATTTGGTTGGTAATTAAGTTAATTTCAAAAATTAAATTGTAACCATACTTTAATAAATTAAATTATTTGTACATTATTTATATCCATCAAATTGTAATAACGAGCTCAAACCAGTTTTTGAATTTTGGAGAAATATGTTTCACACACTGTATACAATTTTCAATTATATATTTATTAGTCTGAACACAGTTTGAGGAGCCAGGTTATACCTAAATATTTCAGACATTGTTTGTTGCAATCGACTCATTGAGACAATTAAAGGCAAAAAAGGAGATGAAAATTGTGCGCGAGTTTAATGGTAATGAACTTCAGGTGACCAGTACTTCCGGATCGGTGGTTGCAGTGGCGACATATGCCCGACAATAGATACAAATCTCAAAAATTAATAATATTTTTATATGTTTTAATAAATTAATTCATTAATGCTCTCAAATATATTTTTAATAAATATTTTGAAATGAATTCTTGATTAATAACTTTACTCATGGCTCCGCCCCATTCCCATGTTTCATTTATTTATTATATTATGAATTTCCAAGTGTTTTTAATGTTAACATTAATATCAAAGCTAATCACAAATATTATCTCAATATAAAATATAATTATTTAATTAACTTATATTTAAATAATAAAAACCACTGTAAAACATAAATCTAATGTTTATCAATAAATTTAGTGTTTTACAAGTTATCCAGTACAGTACTGTAGACAGAAAGCATTGATTACCGTACAGTACATTATGGGTATATAAGTCGCTGCAGAATATAAGAGCTTTTAGTTTGTTTTCAAGTATTGAACAAAACTCTTAATTTGTCGCTCAAAACAACAAATTATAACAATGACTGACTTCACGGGTAAATACAAACAGACCTCATCTGAAAACTTTGACGCCCTTCTCAAAGAGCTCGGTTAGTGTGTCCACACATGTCCTTAAATGAAGTGATTAATAATTTGTAAACTTTAAAAGGATTGCCCGATGAAGTGGTAAATCGTGCTAGGTCACAGACTGCCGAAGTGGAGATCACCAAGGATGGCAGTGTCTACACCATTAAAACGGTCACAACCAGCAGAACCTGGGAGACTAAGTTCGAGTTGGGCAAGGAGTTTGACACACCTCGTTTTGGGGGTAAAACTGCCAAGGTATGTGCTTTCTAGCCAATTAAAAGTGATTATTGGTTTGGCACAACTGATAATACATTTTGAATTAAAAAATATTTCACTTTTCTAAATATTGCTAACAATGTATGATTATATAATGAAAATGTAACGTGCTTGTTTAATTGCATGATTATAGTCACTGGTGGTGGCGGACGGCAATAAACTCATTGAGACTATTAAAGGAGAAAAGGAGTTGAAAATTGTGCGCGAGTTTAATGGCAATGAACTTCGGCAAACGTCTACTACCGGTGCGGTGGTAGCGGTCGCGACATTTGCCAAACAATAGATGAAATAAATCAAAATCTCAATCATTGATATTAAAATTTTTGTTAAATTTATTTTATTTTTATTTTATTCATGTTAATTAACAATATATTTATCTTAATGTTGATACTATAATATGGTTTCATATAATAATAAATTCAAACTGATTCCTAAAATAACTTTTAAATTATTAGAATATAAATATTTTGAAAAGAGTCTCTATTAAAAAACTTTTATTGATCCTTTTAACACCGTATTTCATTTATTTAGTATACAGAGTCTGTGTATTACAGACTAACTATCAAGAAATGTGAACATGAAAAGCAGACATTAGCAATAATTTTTATCTCTATTTAAAGTATAATTATTTAATTGTATTTAAATAATAAACGTTAGTGCAAAACATAAATCTAAGTGTATATGAATGTATTTAGTGTTTTACAGTATGGGAATTAGATAACAAAACCATTGACTACATTGAATTATGGGTATATAAGTCGCTGCAAAATACAGAAAAGTGTCAGTTTATATTTTCTGTTCAATTAAACTCTCAATTTGTCACAAAACTACAAATTGCAATAATGACTGACTTCACGGGTAAATACAAACAGACCTCATCCGAGAACCTGGATGTCCTTCTCAAAGAGCTCGGTTAGTGTGTCCGCACGTATTCATATACGAAATGATTATAAATATGAACTTAAAAAATTATAAACTACTTAAAGGATTACCGGATGAAGTGGTAAATCGTGCCAAAACACAGACATCGGACGTGGAGATCAGCAAATCTGGCAATGAATACACCATTAAAACGGTGTCCCCTA